GTACAGAAAAAGCACATTCACAGGGCAGTACACACACTTCCTTAGTTACGTGCCCATTAAATATAAAAGGAATCTTGTAAAATGTCTCGCGAGCAGAGCAAGGAAGATATGTACGGAGGACCTCTTACAAAAGGAATTTGAATATATTCACGATTCCTTGACGGAGATGGGTTATCCGAGTAGTTTCATAAAGAAACATATGAAACCATCAGAGAAAAAACCTGTGACTCTGACTGCACATAAGAAACCTCTATTTATTAAGTTACAATTTAATGGGGACTTATCTAGTGAGATTCTATTCCAAAGACTTTCAAGGAGCATACGTAGAACATTTTACGCAGCACACCTATGTTTGTCATTCTCTAGCCGACGAATGATTGGGACGCAAACGAAGGATAAGCTTGATAGTTTTGCCACATCTATGTGTATTTATCAATTCAACTGCACCTGCGGTGACAGTTATATTGGGCGTACTACTAGACAGCTTAGCCAACGTGTTAGTGAACATCTCCCATCGTGGTTTGGCAAAGGACAGACAAAAACAATCCGTAGCTCAATTCTGTCACATCTAATTGATAGTGGTCATGTAGTCGATAAAACGAAAGCCTTCAAAGTAATTCATCGTATCCCTCCGAATCTTTCTAATAGACTTCGTATTCGTCTACTGCACACAGCTGAGGCGATAGGCATTCGAACTATTAAACCTAAACTATGCATTCAAAAGAAGTTCGTGCAGCCATTATCCCTCCCGTGGCCTAATAAGACATAACCAACGAAAGACTTCTACACCACCCTTTATTTATATTTCCAACCCCTTTCTTATCATCCCTTAATCTTATCTTCATTATAAACGTGTTTCATTTCCTTCCCCTACAATCTAACATTACGTAATCGGTTCATTTGTTTTTACTAGCCTTTATCGACTACTTCCACCTGAACAATTGTTTGTTTAATCATACTGTTTTTCATTATTCGTGTTATCACAGATTGCCTCATTTTTTCATCCTTATTATTGATAAGACCATTATTATTATTATTACTACTACTGTTAACATTATCATTACTACTATTATGACTAATTGCACAATTTATATTCATCATCGTATTAAATAAATATTTGAATAAAGCAAGAACAACAGTGGTTTGTGCAGATTAATATGGTACCATCATCGGGCTTCTCATCAGCTGCTGCTTACAGCCTAAATAAATTATGAGTAGGGGGGGGGTTATGTACAGGAAAGTTTCAACATACTTGCAGATTTTTCATTATTTCAGTCGATAGGAAGTTCCGCATTTAGTGAGCAGTGCTCAGAAAATTATGCCTGTATATTTTTATTTTTGATTACAGCTTGATTCCACACTGTATTTTGGTACAAGTATGGAATTTTCAGCATGTGATATCGGTAGCCCAAATTTTGCAGGCCGACCATAGATATCAGGTGTGCGTCGGCGAGGGCTCGAACCCCGGACCATGTGCATGGTCGGCGAGAGTCCTAACCATTGTGCCAACGACGCACGTTTTTGTACAGGGAGTACAAGCTTAAACAGAGTAAATATTATACATACAATGAATGGTAACCGATTTACGTGATAAAGACGAGAGATACGTAAGATGCTGAGTAACTAATTAAATGGGGTGACAACCTACTGAGTTGAACTCAAATCATAGAAACAAGAGACAAGCAAAAATACAGATTATAAAAAAGGGGTGAGGTTAAAGCCGAAGACTACGTGGTCAAATGAAAGGAAGAATAAAGATATCCTGTTACCAGGATGGACAAATAAAGACTAATAACTGCTTCTTTCTGAAAACATAAATCTGGTCTCTATCAGACGCATGAAACCCAATTTGTGTGTTCAGAAAGAAGCGGTTATTGTCTTTACTTGTTCTGGTAACTGGATTCTGTATTCTTTCTTCATTTGATTACATAATCTTCGGCTTTAACCTCATCCATTCGACACAGTGTAATTTTGCTTCTCTCTTGTTTCGCTGATTCGAGTCCAGTGAAAATAAGCAAAGTAACAAGGTTTTGGTACTTGGTACCATAATCAGATAAACACTCTATTTATTACTAAGTTAGGTTAAGAGTAATAACGAGTAATGCCTGTACACACACACACACACACAAAAGGGGATAGGAGTAGCTAAGCCTACAAACAGTTGTCACCTCTAAGTATTTCAGTAAGCGCCTTTGACTGTTGTTATCTTGTAACCTTGGAAGTTGTTTTGAAGTCAATCTTGTGAAACATATACACCTTTGTTATTTTAATTTTGATCAATTCTCCGAAAGAAGTTCGGACCAGTTTGCCGAATGAAACGTTGAAATTACTGATTCCAATTTCTCTAGGATTTTACAAATATAGTTTATATATGTATATATATTTATAGAGCTGTTGATAGGGAACTAACTGAAAAGGAGTCTACACTTCTTGGGTCAGTCTGTTGTTATTTATTCTGGTTACGAAGAGAGATCATACATCATTAAGCAACTCGGCACCAGTCACTGGTTCATGAATTCCAACTTCTGCCAGTTCGTGATATATATATATATATATGTATACGGCCAGGAGTAAGAAAATTCTGCTCACTACCTACAATGATTTTCAACATTGCGTTGACTGGATAGTGCAACAGACAACGGCGGGCAACAAGAAGATAGGCGTAAAATGGACCCACACAAAAAACAACTTGGAGGATCTGGACTTCGCCAATGTGATATATGTCTGATTTCCCACAACTCTACGCATCATCATCGAACAAAGCAAGGAATGGCAATCAAACCTCTACCTAAACTTTATAGACTTTGAGAAGGCCTTTGACAGCGTTGATCGTGAAGTAATTTGGAAATTACTCGAGTACTATGGCGTACCCCAAATATTCATCAACTTTATTCAACAGCTGTACGACAACGGCACCTGCCAAGTGATCCACAACGGAAGACTCAGCGAGGCGTTTGGAGTAAACACAGGAGTCAGACAAGGGTGCTTACTATCACCAATGATATTCCTAATTGTGGTGGACTGGATTATGCGTCAGACTGTGGGAAACGAGAAGACAGGAATATCCTGGACCGACGTGAAGAACCTAGAAGACCTGGATTTCGCGGATGACTTATATTTGATGTCACACACAATCGAAGACTTACAAGCGAAAACCGACAAATTGGTCGAAGAAGCAGCCGGCGAAGACAGGACTCCAGGTAAACATAGACAAGACGGAGGTTATGAAAATAACCAACCAACAACAGCAACAACATCCAACGTCAATCACCATCAACGGGAGGGATTTGAAAGAGGTTAATTCATTCACTTATCTAGGGAGCATCGTCTCAACTACAGGAGGAGCGGACGAGGATGTCAAATCGAGAATCGGGAAGGCGAGAAACACATTCATCAGCCTGAAATCAATCTGGAAATCTTCGTCACTCAGCATCACCAACAAAATTCGGATTTTCAATACAAACGTAAAGTCAGTTCTTCTATACGGATCAGAAACTTGGCGGGTCACAAAGAATATTTCCAAAAGGCTGCAGACCTTTATTAACAACTGTCTTCGGTCTATAGTGATGATCAGATGGCCGGAAAGAATCACCAACAAGAAATTATGGGAACAAACAAAGCAAGAACCAATCGCTCAACAAATATGCAGGAGAAAGTGAAGATGGATCGGACACTCGCTGAGGAGACCGCTGGGTGACATCGCGCGCCAAGCCCTCGAGTGGAACCCGAAAGGGAAGCGGCGTGTGGGTCGTCCAAGGGTGACATGGAGGAGATCGTGTGAAGAGGAGTTGAAAGAATATGGATTAACATGGATGCAGGCGAAAAGTATAGCAGAAGACAGAAGAAAATGGAGACGTGCAGTTGAAGCCCTATGTTCCACTAAGAACCCAAGGGAGCAATAATAATAATAATAGAAGATATGAAAATGATGAAAAGCAACAAGTTGGCAGGAGAACCATCAAAAAAAAAGATAAAACTTCAGGTGAATGTAGAGAAAACAGAGGTGATGAGGATTCCCGGCCAACAGCAACAGCAACAGTCACAGTAACAACAACAGACAACAATCAGTCATAGTAGATGGGAGAAATCTGAAAGAAGCAACCTAATTTACCTACCTTCCTACCTACTCCCCAAGAAGCATCGTTTCAACTACAGGCCAACGGAACTGACGAGGATATCATCAAAGCGAGGATTAGGAAAGCAAGACAAGCTTTCATTACTTTCAAGTCTGTGTGGAGGTCAACAGCACTGCTCAGCATGAAAAAAATAAGATCCGGATTTTCAACTCAAATGTGAAGTCAGTGCTACTTACTACGCAGATTAGAGACTTGGCGCCGCACTGCGTCACCGAGGGCACTTCGAACCAACTACAGACCTTTACCAACAACTGTCTTCGCTCAATACTCAGCTAAATATCAGATGGCCGGCCAGAAAACATCACCAATAGGGATCTCTAGCAACAGATAAACCAACCCGGCAGGAACCAATTGTGCGACAAATATGCAGGAAGAAATGGAGGTGGATGGCATTGGTCATACTCTGAGAAAACAAACCATCAAGTGAGTGACATCACACGCCAAGCCATTCCTCGAGTGGAACCCCAATGGAATGGGAAGCAGCGGGTTGGTCGTCAGTGCGAGGGTGACATGGAGGAGGTCATGCGGAGAACAGGAGAGATGAAAGCATGTTTGCAGACGTAGAGCCAGGTGATGAAGACGTCGGTAGAGAACCGAACGTAATGGAGGTGTGTAGATGAAGCCTTGTATCGCCTTGTATCTGGAAGTTCTTGGGTTCAAACTCTGGTAATGGGGGCGTACTGCTGAAGAGACCTAAACAGGGACGAAACAACTGTCCAGTACTCCTAGACTGGTTTTCCAATAGTCCTCTAACTGATGTCAAACTAGTGATCACCCGCTGAAAACCAACACCTGGAAATTCTAAAGTGAAAAAGCAGACAATAATTTTGAAATAAATTCAACAAGAAATAAAATGTTCACCACCTTATTTTCTGTTTGCAGAAGTTGAACAATCACTCGAACATGACTGGCAAAATTTTTCACAGCGATAACACGCATTATATTCTCTGCATCAGTTTGATGCGGATCAACAGTTGTCGCAGAAGCCAATATAAGACAAGCATCAGCACTATCCATTTTTACACGTTGTAAATCTGCATGATCCATAACAGTTCCCTGAAAAATGAGGAGAAAGGGGAGGAGTAGAAAAAAGATCGATAGAATGATGAACAGATAGGGAGGCAAATTAAATATGTGTGAAAATATTATAACAAGAAATTCTGAGAATAACAGTCGACACTTATATGTAGACAACTCAACACTAATGGCATGGATTATCAATCGATTCTCACTTGAGTCTGTAGCTATTGTTGTTGAATAAGTTGTTCACTAAGACATTTGAGAAGTGTTGCACCATTCCCAATGAGTTGATTGTTAACTATGAAAAAAAAGATTGGCCAACTTTGACCATCTCTGGTTACGATAAGAACTTGTGTTCGGCTCGGTGTAGTGGCTGTGCAGTCTTTCCGCCGTATCTGTGTAAACGGGTGCTGACAGAGATGGTGAGAATGCACATGGTCAGCTCCAAACTACAGATAACCAATCTTTACAATCAAGATGTTTCGCTAAAGATGCTCGTAAACGACGAAGGTGTTGTATGCGGCCATTATTAGATGCATGTAAACCAGTTGATGGACCAATCATGGACCGATCACTTGGATGCCGAATCCAATATTCCCATACCAACCGACGTAACTCACTATTGCTACAATGTTTCAAGAATGTACTGACTATTTCGTTCGAAGATAAATTGATATGCATACCAGCTATATGTCCACCGTCTTCTTTACCGCCCAAAACTGCAGGCAGCCAATATGGTGCTGATGGAGCTAAATTTGACTCAGCAACTCTTATATCTGTAGTACCTGTAAGAACATCTAAATATCACGGCGTTGACATACGACTAGAAAACCTTGAACTTGAATTTTCAGAGCCTCATAGATAGAAGAATCACGGCGAAGATATTCACGTCTGGTAGCTTTCAATTTCTGGTACAGGCGTGACACTACCAAAATGCAGAGTCTTCTAAACACCTTGAGCTGCAATCTACGAATGTTTGGCATGCGATTCGCTCCTACTGTCAAATGCAAGATGACGTTACAAGACTGGACTACACCGACTCCTAGATTAGAAATAAGAAGTGAAGTCGTAGTGCACGTTGATCGCTTTACTTACTTGGGAAGTACCATCAGCCAACGCCAACGAGTTGATCTCTGACGAAATCTAAGCACCGATACAGAGGGCTAGTTTCGCAAATGCCAGTTTACACCGTCTCTGGCGTAGACGTGATATCCGACTGGCTATCGACCAAAGGGCGGGTGTACTGCTCATCAATCCGCCCCGTCCTCCTTTATGGCTGTGAGACCTGGCCACTGAGAGTGAAAGACATGAAAAGATTAGCTGTCTTCCATCATAGGTGCCTGCGTTCCATCTCCCCTGTGAAGTGGTATAAGAAGGTGAGCAATATTGAGTTTAGGCCTAAGTCGAGTGCTAGGTAGATGGGACGGGAAATCAATCGACGAGGCTGTGAAGTTACATAGACTGAGATGGTTAGGACATGTGCTACGTGTGCCTAGTCATCGCCTCCCTCGACGGGCAATGTTAGCTGATATAGGGTCAGGCTGGAAAAGAGCTAGCGGCGGTCAAACAAAAATTTCGCACCAGTTAATGAAATCCACAACAGTTAGTCTAAGCCACGTAGGAAGGTGTAGACTTCCTGGTTGGGGTCCTCGGACGGTAAAAATCTATGGTTGGAAACAATTGGTGACATGGCTCAAAATCGTTCTCAGTGCGCAGATGCATCCACTCCTTGTGACTTATGATCTCCAATGAAACTGTTTTGTTCTTCGTTATTACTCTTCCTTTGTCTCACACCTCTGTTTACTGTCTCTATTATGCATTTCTTCTACTTTCTCCTCTTGCTTTGTGTGGTAAATAGAGTGTGATGACTTGAACTGCCGCACATATGTGCAAAGTTTTATGTCAAAAACAGACAGACAGACACTACCAGGGTCCGAATTGGGTCTTCTTTTACACTGGTGAGACAGTTTAGATTGCACAAGGCTTGCTCAACAGGAAAGGACGCTTGTTCAAGAGTGGATATAATAGTGATATCATTTTTCAAAAGCTTGCCACTCTGGATACAATGTGATAACTTTGATAGGGAAACTTGATAATTCATAATTAGTTTGGAAATTCCTCCGAACACTCTGTCAGGTTTCAAGTCCTCTAAATTTGAAATGCTCAGTGGCTTCAAGATATTTTGCGATACATACGATTAGCAAGTATCTCTGGTATAAGATAGTATGATGGTCCATGTTCATTTTTGTAGCTTCCATAAGGACTGTAATTCCTGAGATGTGGAACGCTTCTCCGGAAAGAGTGTCACAAAGTCAACAGATAGGCCACCATACTTGGCGCAAAGGATGTGTACACTGCACAGTAGCAGTTCGCTCCAACTTCCTCCTTTATGACTGGCTGTGAGACATGGACATTGAAAGTGGAAGTCATAAAAAGGCCAGTTAGCTATCTATCTCTCGTGCTAGGTGTAATAGGGTGAGTAATATTGAGATTAGGTTTCGGTCAAGTGTTAAGTAAGGAGGGGAAATCAGTCAGTGAGGTTGTGAAGGTGAATCGATTCAGATGGCTAAAACATGTGTTACGTATACCTAACCACCTTCGTCCTAGATGGTCAATGTTAGCTGATAAAGGATAAGGTTGGGAAAGAGTTAGGAGTGGTCAATCCAAGGTTTGAAATCAGTTCATGAAATCTTTAACGGTCAGTTTTGAGCCATCCAGCCATCCAGCCAGCCACGTAGGGAGGCGCAGACAGTCTGGTTGGTTGGAGTCCTCAAGATACTAGGAACTCACGGCTGGAGACAACTGGTGATATGGCTCAAAATTGTTCCCATTCATAGTGCAGATGCATTCACTCTTTGCGATCCGTCATATCTATTAGACCCTGATGTTTCTGCATGTTAGCTTCTTTTAGACACATAAATTAGGCTTCTTAATGTGGATGCCAACGGCCAGCGTCAGCAATATTTAGTAAACGAACTATTAACGTGAAGTAAAGATTAATTGGTATGAAATAGATGACTGAAAACCGTCTTGTTAACATTAATCTTGTGTTCTGTATCCACAAGATGAGATAGAATAGCACTATGTGAAGAGATTTTGTTTGTCATTTACTTAACCAACCTCCATGCAGGGCGATGTTTGGAAATCCAACGAAAAACACGCCTAATTGTACGACTCCACAGGAGCAGTTAAATTGGTAGATACACATGGAAGAGGCGAAATTAGGCAGTTTATCTTTTACTCCCGAATGCAAAAAATGGGTGGTTATGAAGACACAGCATAATTCAGCAGCAGGAAATGTTCTTTTTACCGTATTTCTAAGGCATTGTGTTAGTGTATCTCGCTGGTGTTGTCCCCAAGGAACTGCATCTGTAAGAATAAGGCCTTCCTTTACGGAACTGTTGGTACCTTGGGCTGCTTTGATTTTAGATTCATATTCTTATCAATAAACTTACCTGGATAACTGTTCCCCTCAGCAACCGTTTTATATTATTAAGTTCCTCATCAAGACATCCATCGAGCAGATTGCTCTTGCTCTGTGGCGGACCAAGCACTTTATCAGATGGAGTTTGTATTTTAAGGCACAAAGATGAGAAAAATGAGTATACTGACAGTCAGTTGATGTAGGTTTTCTACATACACTTCTTATTGCATTGCCCTCTTTTGTAGTCATAAAGAAGTCTAGAAATGAAATACTGGAGTCATTTTCTTTCTCAATAGCAAAATTTATTGCGGAATGAACGTCGTTAAAATTGATCCAAGATGCTCTTTTCTTCATCCTCATCTTTCATAATCAAAAATGTATCATCCATGTACTGACAATAGAATTCAAGTTCATCAGTGAAACATCTTTCAAAGTTTACAAATAAAAATTCAAATATAAACCAATCATGGTGTTTTGTCTATAGGATAATCCGATGGTGAATATAAATTGTGCAATTAGTCATAATAGTGTGGTGAGAGGTGGCCGTGAGAAAATATGAGCAAGGCTGATTCAACAACCAATCACAGCAGACTTAACGTGGCAAAATATGATTCGCAGATAAAGAACTCTATTTTTCGAGGAATTCCGAAAGAACCAATCAGAAGACTGCGCTTGTCTACTTGCATAAGCTATAATAATGTATGTGAAATATATATAAATACGTGTTGATTTTCGTGATAAAAGGATCTGTTGCCGGCCCTTGTCTTCTGTTGTTACAATAGTAGTAGTGATAATGTTAATAGTAGTAATAGTAATAATAATAATAATGGTCTTATCAATAATAAGGATGAAAAAGTGAGGCAATCTGTGATAACACGAATAATGAAAAACAGTATGATTAAACAAACAGTTGTTCAGGTGGAAGTAGTCGATAAAGGCTAGTAAAAACAAATGAGCCGATTACGTAATGCTAGAGTGATTGTAAGGGAAGGAAATGAAACACGTTTATAATGAAGATAAGATTAAGGGATGATAAGAAAGGGGTTGGAAATATAAATAACGGGTGGTGTAGAAGTCTTTCGTTGGTTATGTCTTATTAGGCCACGGGAGGGATAATGGCTGTACGAACTTCTTTTGAATGCAAAGTTTGGGTTTAATAGTTCGAATGCCTATCGCCTGCCTCAGCTGTGTGCAGTAGACGAATACGAAGTCTATTAGAAAGATTCGGTGGGATACGATGAATGACTTTGAAGGCTTTCGTCTTCTCGACTATATGACCACTATGAATTAAATGTGACAGAATTGAGCTACGGATTGTTTTTGTCTGTCCTTTGCCAAACCACCACGATGGGAGATGTTCACTAACACGTTGGCTGGATAAGCTGTCTAGTAGTACGGCCAATATAACTGTCACCGCAGGTGCAAAAAGAAGTTCGTACAGCCAACCAACTGATGACTACTACACCACCCCTTATTTATATTTCCAACCCTTTCTTATCATCCTTAAACTTATCTTCATTATAAACATGTTTCTCTTCTTCCCTTACAATGTAACATTACGTAATCGGTTCATTTGTTTTTACTAGCCTTTATCGACTACTTCCACCTGAACAACTGTTTGTTTAATCATACTGTTTTTCATTATTCGTGTTATCACAGATTGCCTCATTTTTTCATCCTTATTATTGATAAGACCATTATTATTATTACCACTACTAATAATATTATCATTACTACTATTATGACTAATTACACAATTTATATTCACCATCGTATTATCCTATAGACAAAACACCATGATTGGTTTATATTTGAATTTTTATTTGTAAAGTTATATAGGTATATTTGAGTTAAGCCTGATGAGATCTAATTGAAAACAATATTGTTCGCTTAAATGTGTAGTTCTAAATTTTACTATACGAATATTTAATATATCTTTCAAAGTCCCATTTTCTAGTTTCGCAAGGAAAATGTCAGCTAGAATGGGTCCTAGTGATGACCCCATTGCCACACCATCGATTTGTCTATATAGTTCCTTATTAAATAAAAAGTGAACATTCACTGTGCATTTCAAGAGAAGTGCTTTTATAAAAGACATAGGAATGCCAACATAGATGTTCCATGTTATGAGTCCTTCGCATACAGAGTCCACTGTTTCCATAAATGGTACATTGATGAATAAGGAAGATACGTCAACAAATGATATCATGAATTTATTGTCAACATTTAAATATTTTATCCTTTCAACAAATCCAAAGGTATCCTTTACACTGTGTTTCATCAACTCAGTATATATAGACTGTAAGAGTTCGACTAAGCATTTGGCTACGGGATGGTATGGTGAATTTAACGTACATAATACTGGTCGAAGGGGTACACCATTTTTGTGCCATATAATTTTGGTGTGAACCTTACAGTGGGTTTCAGTGATGTATACTGACTTTGTAGAGTCAGCACAGGAAGAAATTATCGAAAGGAATATTCTTCGCTCAGTTATTTTGTGTTTTCAAGATCAATTTACTGTAAGCCGAAATGGAATATGGATAGCTGACAAACTATCACGGGATTTTTCCCAATGATCAGAAAATGAAATCTCCGCGCTTTTTATTATTTTTTAAATTTATATTTGATTACAGCTTGATTCCACACTGTATTTTTGGTACAAGTATGGAATTTTCAGCATGTGATATCGGTAGCTCAAATTTTGCAGGCCGACCATAGATATCAGGTGTGCGTCAGCAGGGGACCGAACCCCGGACCATGTGCATGGTCGGCGAGAATCCTAACCACTGTGCGCTTCACTTAAAACGAGAATCTACCTCATATGCATAGAAGATACATTGAATGAATAAGAAATTAGAATCGCTCAGAAACATTCTAATCAAAAATGGATATCCAACCTCCTTCATCGAAAAACACCTAAAGTCAAAGACCGATACTCTGCGAAGCCTGAATGTACTAAAGAAAAATAACGAATTGTGAATTTGAAATTTAAGGGAGATACAACTAATGAAATTCACAGAAGCTGTCTGTCAACATCAGTTCAAAAAATGTTCTATCCTGCATCTCTACGCCACACCTTCTCAATATATACTTTTGTTCATCGAAACGTCACATACAACATTCAGATTTTGCCAACTGCAATGTGCGTGTTAATTCCTTACTTAGCTGTTCTATGGTGTTCTTTCTTTTTTGTTCAAATTTATACTACTTACCATTAGTAAGTAGTATGAGTATATTTTGAAATTCTTAAATACGAGTTTGAAGTTAAACTCAATGTAATAATGATCTATTTAGTTCCTAGGGGAACATAGGGCTTCAGTTGCCCACATCTCTATTGTGTTCACTTCTCTGTCAACGTCTCCATCACCTGGCTCTACGTCTGCAAACATGATTTCATCTTCTCCTCACGTTACCTCCTTCTACATATCACCCTCGCACTGACGACCAATCCGCTGCTTCCGATTCCATTGGGGTTCCACTCGAGCAATGGCTTGGCGTGTGATGCCAGTCACTTGATGGTTTGTTTTTTCAGAATATGGCTAATCCAATCGACCTCCATTTCTTCATGGATATTTGTTGCACAAATGGTTCCTGCTGGTTTGGTTCGTTCGTTACAAGAGATCCCTGTTGGTGATGTTTTCTGGCCGGCCATCTGATCTTGAGCTGAGTATTGAACGAAGGCAGCTGTTGGTGAAGACCTGTTATTTGCTCGAAGTGGCCTTCGTGACGCAGCGCAGCGCCAAGTCTCTGGTCCGTATAGTGACTATCACTGACTTCACACTCGAGGTATGCTTTAAATGTCAGTAAAAAGTCTGAGTATTGTGGAATAGATCAAATAAAGTATAATTATGTCTCATTGGTTTACACACAATGATAACTGTTTCGTTATTGGTAATATTTCGAGCAAAATGACTACTGCCCGTGTTCACACCATCTTTTGAAATTGTTTTGTTCATACATTTATGATTTGTACTCATATATATATATATATATATATATATATATATATAGTTCATTTCTACTTTTTGTTCATTTATTTTTGTGTATTGAGAATTATATTCCAGGACGCTGACAGTTGTTTTGCTGAGTCACCCTCGTTACATGTATTCGGTGTGAGCTTAGTGAATATAAATTCTGTTATAAGTCTCTCTTTCCACTTGTTCATATTAGTGTTTAGAAAACACACGTTGCTTCAATCGATATTGTGGTTTTTGTCCCATGTTGCATGTGCAGCTATATAGAAAATCTTTTTCTAAATTCTTGTGAGCTTGTGTTCCTGTTGGTTGATCTTTAGTTAGACAGGCGTTTATGTTCATTCACTTTTATTTTGAGTAATCTGGACGTTTGACCCATATATTTAGTCGGCCACTCGTCACATTGTTTTTATCCATTATTTTTATGCGATCTTTCAGTTGATTTATTTTTTTTTTTAACTAGATTCGTCGGTTTTCAAACGTCGTGTGTGAATCCCAATATTTTTGAGGTTTCCTTGAATTCCGTCTCTGATGTACGATTTTTGTGTGGTGTTGTGATTGTCATTTTTTTTTTGAATTCCTCCTGCTTGACTGACATTCTCCGGTTTTATATATGTCCAAACCAAGTTCATTTTTAACGGTTTGAAAAAATTTGGGAATTGGGAATATGATATTCATTCATTATAATAAAAGGTTTATTTTTGTATTTCCCAATGAATGAAAAACAAAACGAAAACATGGACATCAACAGTCGTCATTCCATATAGAGCAGAGACGTCAGACGATATCAGAAGAGGCGTACTCAATCAGCTCGACATTAGAGTTTTCTTCAAAACATCAGAAACACTTCAAAGCAACCTTGTCCATATAAAAAATCAAATCCTCAAAAAAGATTCTCTATCTAATTGTGTCTATAAAATAAAATGCTTGGAATGTGATGCAATATACATCGGACAATTTATCGTCGGAGAGAAATCAAAATCAGAAGAAATGAACACTGTAGAGCATCTCTTCGATCACTGAGAAATCCAGTTAGTGAACTAGAAAAACTTGAAAAATCATCTGCCAGCCATGGTCTACACGCTATAGAATCAGGCCACAAAATTGATTTTGACAATATTGAAATCACCATCCAGAAATCACAAAGAACATCTCAACTCATCAGAAACACTTCCTATCAAGTGGAATCCAAATTGCCTGAATAGGAATGATGGACTAAAACAGAATCTGACCTGGTTACAACACCTCCCTCCCCTCTCCAACGAAGTGACAAAATCAACACGAATGTCATAAGCAAGTTCACTATGTAAACACATACTACTTTTATAATTTTACACACTGATCAAATCCAACAATCTAAACTTGCTTTTGTTATCTCTACCAATTGACCAACTTGACAGCGAAAAATGACCCCAGACTGACGAACAATGATCAAGTTAGTAAACTTTGTTTTGTTACCGTAACAGATGTACCATTACCTTTGATATTTGGTTTAGTGATCTTCAATGTTATTTTGACTTTCAATATGTCCTTTTAACTTGACCTAAGTCCGTTTTCTCATCCCTTAACTCTTTGTTATATATAAGCTGAGTGGATTTTGTAAATTCCGGTTTAATAATACCTGTTTGATAAAGCTATTAGCAGCAGCATTAAATAGCGAAACGTCGGCGAGAACAAAATCGTTTTGTTTTTCATTCATTCATTGGGAAATAGAAAAAGGCTTTATTATAATTCTCTGGTTTTATCATAATTTGTCTATACAAAGATACAGAAATGCCCAAATCTTTGGTCTTCTACCTCTACGCTCTGTCCCATTAGGAACCTAAGGGAATAATTAATAATAAAGTTTTTAAAGACGCCTCTGATGGAAATTTCAGCATCAACAAAGAAAACTCCAAAAAAAATGTTTTTTACACACATATCCACTTACCCGAAAATACTTCACTCGTAAAAAATGCAATCTCAACAAATTTTCCAGCTGTAAATCTGGTTTCGATCGATTAATAAAGACCACCTCAACATCTGATATTTGCCTGTCTTCATGTAGAAAATCATTTAAAAATGTTCTCACCGAATCTGTTGTAATATCTCCACACACAACAATATGAGATTTACCCTCACGTTTCTTGTACACCCCAGAATACTTACTAACATTGAAAAACATATCAACAATTTCTGGAATAGCACTCGCAAATGTCGCCAAGGCGAATAGAATAAACAAGGAAATGAAAGCACGACCAAGATATGTCTGTGGTACGATATCTCCATACCCTACAGTTGACATTGTTACAATTGTAAAATACAATGAAGCTGTATACGCCAACGGTTGGCTAACATTATAAACACTCGATCCAAATAGGTTGCCAGTATTCTCAAATAGATGGAAGCAACCCGCCCCAGCGAACCATATCGATATGAATAGGGTACACAGTTGGCACATACGTAAACTTGATGCAGATTTAATCACATTCAAATTGTTCAACACTTCAGGGAGATTACACAGACGAAAAATTCGTACAAAACGAAAACCAATCCATGTTCGTTTGATAAAGAAACCAACTAGTGTTGGTGGCACTGTCAAATAATCCAATATTGAGTACCATTCAATCCAAAAGACTAGTGCATCCGATGAGGCAATCAATCGTACAATGAAGTGCAACAGAAAAAAGATATTCATTGCAAAATCCAGTAGCCGTAGACGTCGACCTTTATGACCGCATTTTTCAATCTCCAATGGCCATACAGTTGCTTCATAGGCATATATACTAAATGATGTAAGGCTGAATATCATTGATAAAGCGATAAATATTCGTCCAGGTATCCAATCATAACTGACTAGTCGGATAGCCCACCAACGACCTTTAATCAATGCAAGTTGAATGCTAGTTGTCCACCAGTGGGAACAACGTGAAGACAGAGACTTATAATTATTATGAGGGGCAGGAAGAGGTGTATTAGTAATAGTGGTAATGCTTTGTTGATCGTATTTTTCCAGTGTGATTGAACTGATACGATTATTTTTATTATTGAGTGTTGAATTAAGTTCAAAGTTATCAGGCTTTTTCTTCATCTTATTGTCATTGGAAGGATTTGTTTGAATTGGAATTTCAGAATGATGCGCAGTGGAGGTTGGCGATTTATTTTGTAAATATACGTAAATGATACGTATTAATATTCGGTAGAGTAGGATGATTATAATTCCGCCAAAGAAACATCCTAACGAGATACCGAAAAATACACTCCATAAACGCTTTTCCATACATTCTTCATGATGTTTATAATTGGCCATGAGATGAGCTTTTTGTTTACGATGGGTTGGCATAATTTGAAGGGGGGGGGGATTTTGAATTTAGTAAACACAGAAAAAGAATAAAGAGGTTTGAAGATTGTCAGCAATAATGGAAGGGATGATCCGTGTCGACGTCACCTGATGATATTACCTAACAATGAAAATAGGAAAAGGTGAACAAGTAAGTATACATGAGCATTTGGGTAAACTCAATTGATTTATTCAATACAAGCCATAAACAAATAAAAACAATATTCAGCGAGGAGACTCTTCTCAACAAAAAATTTAATATCAAGCTATACAATCGTATACATGTATATGGTCTTTAAGAAATTGTATCCGATGAGGGAATTAAGTCAAAGGTGTCTGTCTGTCTGTTTTCGACATAGAACATTACACATATGTGCGACAATTCAAGTCACCACACTCCCTCCATGTAGCACACAAATCAAGAGACGAAAGTAGAAGAAATGCATAATACAGACAGTAAACAGAAGTGTGAGACAAAGGAATAGTAGTAACGAAGAACAAAGAACAGTTTCCAATTGGTGGATGGTGACTAGACGCAGTGGAATCCAGGATGCACATTTCGTCCTATTTGGGACTCGTCATCTGGATGTACCTGCATTTCCCAGTGAGTGATGATGTTCCCACCGAGGCTCGAACCCAGTACCCATAGTTTCAAACGCCAAAGCGTTATCCACTAGACGGCTCTCGTGGCCCAAGTGGTCTAGTGGATAACGCTTTGGCGTTTGAAACTATGGGTACTGGGTTCGAGCCTCGGTGGGAACATCATCACTCACTGGGAAATGCAGGTACATCCAGCTGACGAGTCCCAATTAGGACGAAATGCGCATCCTGGATTCCACTGCTAGCCACCATCCACCAATTGTATACCAACTAAATGCCCGGACATCGTCGAAGCATCTGCACAAGAAGCCGACATGTCAACCTGAGACTGAGCACTTCGGTCCAATCAATCGACGGGAAAATCAAAAATTCAATTCAATAAAGAGCAGTTTCATTGGGTATTATAAGTCACAAAAAGTAGATGCATCTGCGCTAGACAGTGAGAAAGATTTTGAGCTGTATCAGCGATTGTCTCACGCCATTATTGGTTTTTAATATCCCAGTGACCCTAACCAGGACGTCTACACGCCCAAAGCGGCTTAAACTAACTGTTGTGGATTTCATTGACTGGTGAAGCCATGTTTTGGTTTGACCGCCGCTAGCTCTTTTCCAACCTGATCCTATATCAGCTAACATTACTCGTCGAGGAAGGGCATGGCTAGGAAGGCATACGTACCACATGTCCTAACCATCTCAATCGGTGTAACTTCATAGACTTGTCGATTGATTTCCCCTCCCGCGTACCTAGCGATCGATCGATGTCTCACCTCAATATTGCTCACCCTATTATACCACCAATTAACACGGGAGATAGAACGCAAGTACCTATGATCGAAGACGGCTAACATTTTTATGTCTTCCTCTCTCAATGGCCAGGTCTCACAGCCATAAAGGAGGACGGAGAGGACTGCTGAGCAGTACACCAGACCTTTGGTCGATAGACAGCCGGATATCATATCTATTCCAGAGACGGCGTAAACTGGCATATGCGAAACAAGCCCTCTGTAACCGCGCTGACATTTGGTCAAAGGTGTGCATACATGAAATAATAATAAATAGTAGTAGTAGTAGTATGAAATGCAATTAAAATATTTGTGATTATAATCATAGTTTAATGTCAAGTGGCAAAACAATCAATGTCATATATAGAATGATACATAAGACAGGTGTATAGATTTTGGAAAGAGGTACATAATTATAGGATTACTAGGCGAATATAAAATCTTACATAACATGGTGTGAAATTCGATAAGATAGGATTCAATATTGTAAAAATAAAAATTAATAATTTTGGGTTTAGAATCACAATTGGGTCAAGTAGAAAAGATTCAGAGTGAGAATAGTAATAATAATAACGATAATAATAATAACCGTAGTAATAAGGGAAAAGTACGTAGAATAACTAAATAAACAAAATAAATAAATGCCTATCCCGCTACGGCCAAGGCAGAAGTAGGGATTGTACGTACTTCTTTTGTACACAAAGGTTTGGCTTAAAGTCATGAAATGCCAAGGCCTCAGCTGTCTTTTGAAGTCTGTAACGAAGAAAACGCGGGAAGTTAGCATAAATTCTACAAATGTTGTTGAAATCATGGTCAGGGTTGACAGAGTGACAGAAGTCGATCAGGTGTTCCAGAATAGAACTTCGCATACACTTCATTTCTGCCTTGTATAACCATGCAGCTGGAATATGTTCTCGTATCCATGTGGAAAGCTTTCTCTAACCTACGGTCAATGTCTCTTGCTACACAAGAGCGGGTGAACTGATAGATGCACATGGAGGCGGCCAGACCAGGGAGCTTATCTTTCACAGAAGTAGAGAACAACTTGCGTCTATTGAACGTCACATGTAATTTTGCTGGAAAGGACGTCTTATTGACTGCTTTAGAGAGACGATTTTCAAGCATATCTGAAGCTTGATCACCTTTGAATTCCGAGTTCATCAATAAGGTTTTCTTTGGAACTGAGTCGGTGACTAGTTTAGACTGCTTATCTTTCATGTTTCTGTCAATAAATCGGTTAGGGTAACCGTTTTCTGCCAGCGTGGCTTTTAAGAAGTCGAGTTCTGATTCAACGCAATCAGAACTACAAATTTTCCTTATCCTAAAGCAGAGTGAATGAATTAGGTTCGTTCTCCTGGAGATAGGCACCCAACTATAAAATTAGTTAGTTGTCCGTTTTATGTACGTCTATCTTATCAAATTTCACACCATTTTATGTAACATTTTATATTCGTCTGCTAATCTTATAATTATGTACCCTTTCCAACATCTATACACCCATCTTATGTATTATTCTATATATGACATTAATTATTTTGCTACTTGACGTTTAACTATGATTATAATCACAAATATTTTAATTGCATTTCATACTACTACTATTATTATTTCATGTATTCACACCTTTGACCTAATTCCCTCACCGGATATAATTTCTTAAAAACCATACACATATATACGATCGTACAGCATGATAATAAATTCGTTGTTGAGAAGAGTCTCTTAGTTTAATATTGTGTTCTTAATGCTACATTGGGAAGTTAATAACTGAGATTCTGACTGTTTATCTAATGTGAGAAGTGTGCAACACTAGCGGAACTCCGTCCGGTTCCAGGTTCAAGGCACTGGACTGCTGCATTAACAGCTGCCGTGTTGGGCTACTTTTGACCTGGGTATTGGGCCTCTTTTCGAGTCTCTTATCTTTTCCCAAAGTATTGCTTCATTTGCTTTCTTTGATATCAAGTCGGTCACTCTGTTATTTGATGTTTTTGTTCCGATGATCATCTCTTTGCATACTACTGATAAATCCTGTCAGTAGCACGCATCACATTAGTACCTGTTCAGAGTATTTGAGTAAATTTCAAACCACCTTGAAGTGTACTATGCATATTTTATCGATACATACGTTCATTATCGCTACGATTAATTTCTTGAGTTCTCAGTTGAATAAAGGACCTCGTTGGCACACCTCTTTTGCTCTCCAATTTCCTTCCCACATGATCCTCTTCATATAATCTTCAAACCAATGTCTAACCCATCGTTTCCCTTTCGAGCTTCAGTCGACTGCCTTTAATGTGTGAGATCACTGGGATCCGATCCAATGGGTCCATGAATTCTAACTTCTGCCAATTCATGATACAGCGCGACCCAAGCACATACCGGGGTGCGTACTGATGAAGACTCACAAACTAGAACGAAACAGCTGTCCACTACTCCCAGCTGGTTCTCTAATCAATTTCAGCACATAATGAAATCCTGTAACATCTCCATTTATTTTGTCATTCCTTCACGTTCCCAGTGGTGAAACATAGGACACCTTCAAGCTAGAGCTCTTTTGAAGTTTCTGCAGCAGTGGTGTTTCTTTTTAAAGGATGCGGTTGCTAGCCACCACACGCCCAACCTTACCAATCTTATGACTGACTGGCTTAGAGAGGTAAAGGAGTGAGTCGGTCGGGCAATGTACCGTTGTGCCACCGATGCACATACATCTCCATTTATGGACAATAAGTTGTTGTGTAGTTAGTTGTTGATCTTCAGTATTGACGCCAACGAAGGCAAATAATAATCGAAGTCTGTAGTAGGTCCCGTTGGACGATATACTTTTAGTGACGATACAACCGCTAATGTCGGCAAATCAGTAATACTTCAAAGACAGTAAGTATCCAAACGCGAAAACGTTATCTCTGATACGTTAGTCGCAGGGATAACATTCCTAAAGTACACCCTTAACACATAATTTGCTGATATATATCTAAAATAACTTTATCGTTGAGATCTTAACTTTGATCTTATGTCGTAGTGTAATATTTATCTGCATAATAATGGTCGATTATCATCAGAGTGCATAGAGGGTGGAAGAGGCTTCCAAAAACTTCCGCTTGACAGTCATATGATTCATAGATCAGACCGTAATGGATCAAAAAAAAATAGAAGGGTTTAGTGATGAGTAGAATTCGATAGTGACTTTGTATTGTGTGGGTCTATATGATGGCAATCAGTGAGAGAGAGAGAGAATGCCTTTACTTTTTATCAAACCAGGGTAGACGAATTTTAACTCCAAGCTTAGGAAGTGTGTGCATTTCTATGTTTCAGTACGTCCGTACGCATGTGTGTGTGTGTGCGCGCGTACTGGTGAATTAAATTATTTCGAAGTGATATTTAGATAAGGCCATTTTTGGGAATAATTTTTTGCTTTTATGTATTTTCCGACATAGCAATGACAAATAGTAGAATTAAAAGTTTCAAGTCAGAAGCTCTTTTTTCCCTTCAGATAGATTTGAAAGCATTTTTTTTATCAGAAATATTTCTGTCCTGAAGAGTGATCACAAGACTGAAGGCGAATGGTTCACAGTTAGAGAAGAACCATTGAAAGCTAGTAAGAAGTATTAGAGAGCTGTTTCG